AAATTTGAGGAAGCTAGAGAAGCTGGAATAGTCTTTGCAGAAAACAGACAAAAGGGGATATATAAATGCAGGGAAGAGTTCAGGGCTTGCATTAATACATGCCCTTTGGACATTTGTGAAATGCTCTGGGTAGAGATGAACAAACTTTCAGATAGTTTATATTTTATCTAGAATGTAGCTAGTATGAATGATGAAAGAGATAAAGGGCAAGAGAAGGTAGTGAAGTTTAAGATGTCATTAAAGAATTTTTTAAAATGAGGAACCTAGAGATCACAAGAGAAACAAAGATAAGTGTGCATGTACATGTGTGTGTGTGTGTGTGTGTGTGCGCGTATTTATGAGTTGGAGGAGGCAGCTGATACATTTGAATAATTTAAAGAATTAGAAGAAAAAGTGAGTTTTTTTCAATAATCTGATGCAGGAGAGGACTGTAAGAAGGAAGTTTAGAATAGTGATAGAAGTTTAATGTTATGATTCAGATAGAATAATTCCAAGTCATGACAAAGACAGGGTGTGGATCTGAGAGTAATGTTTGAAGAGATGATTATGCAGATGAGAGATCAAGGAAATGAATAACTTCTACTACAAGCCACAAATGTTGCTTAGGGTAAATGTAAAACTAGAAGTAGAAAATGATATAGAAATGTACAGTAAGTGCAATAAATAGGGCGCCTATGATGGTAGCACTGAGGAAGAAAATGAGTGGACAGTAGAGCTGAGCAAACATCAAAGGAACAAGAGAATTTCACAAGGCCATGGAGAGTAATGGTCTAAACACTAAATCTTTAATCATGAAGTATCTGGCAGTATGGGAAAATGAGAAACCCTTAACAGAGAAGGCCATAAAGAATACTGCATCTTGAGGAAAGGACTATATTTCAATTATTCAGGGTATTATAGGGAATCATCAATGTAAAAAGAAATTTAGGATGTAGAATGTTTTGGTAATCATGGGATGCCATTTCAGGAATTGTTAAACTATGTGAAGAAAATAATTTATTTTGAGGAAATAATTATGATTGTGTGCAAAAATTAGCCAGGAAGATTGTTGTTACAGAGAATAATATTTCAAATACATTAATAAATGGAATATTTATTCCAGTGTGTGTTGAAAATTTTAAAAATAGAACACATTTAAATGAAAGATTATAGTATTTTCTGTAAAAATGCCTAACTATAAAAGTTAGCACAGATATGTTTGTGTTATGTTAACACAGATATGTTAAGATGTTAACAAAGATATGTTAAGATTTTAACACAGATGTGTTGTCTTATTTTAAATATTTATTATTAAAAAGGAAAATGTGAATGTATGTATATTTGTGTGCCTATGTTTATATAATGCATATGTACACCTTCTGATAGACTTTTTTTTTTTTTCTGGTACTGGAGATCAAACTCAGGCCCTTGTGTTTGTGAGACAGGCGGCAGCACCACTCAGCTCAATTCCCAGCCCTGACAGATTTTTAATTGTGTTTTTAAACTTGTAATTGTGCTACTTCAGAAAAAAATTGCTCTCATTCTGTTTGTGGGCCTTCTCTCCTCTCAATTTCTTTCCATCTAGTTCTACACACAATGTTGACCTCCTAGAGCCTAAGTTGTTAGCATAGAACACAAGGGAAACCTCTCACTCAAATGACAAATTTGATCTCCAAATTAAAAGCATTAGACTCTTTTCTACATTTATGTTTGCATTTGAGAAAATCCTTTTATACCTATTGTTATGAAACAAAACTTGATTGTAACAATCTACATGGGAAATAAAATCCACTGATAAGTCTTACCAAGTGAAAAAAGACACTAGCATTGTTGTGTGAGGTGAAGAGAAGTGCAAAATTGCTTAGAACCTCACTGTGGGAATGCAATCACCTAAAACATCTATTTCACAGTTACTCATTTTAGGAAAGCCTTAGGATTAAATAGCATAAGTGTATTTACACTTAATTACACCACTATAATGCAGTGGCTTACTAGGGAAGTAAAGAGGCATTTCTGTACAAAAAGGTGCCACTAAAAATGCCTGTGAAGTTCATGAGAATCAAGAGGAGAAGACTTAAACAATCAAGAGGTAATGAATTGTTGGTTGGAAATTAGTTGGATCCAAATAAATTTGAAGAATAATGAAATAGCTCAACTAATATATATGTGCCAAACATTGTAATTGATATCGGTATGTACAAAAAAGAATGATATATTTTCCTCACATTATTCACAGGTGACAAAACTAATAAAGAAAGACCTATTTGTGTAGTCCAATTGGAGAAAACTCTGACAAATTGTGGGAAGGAGAGGTGGATTTTTAACACCTTTTGTACTCATTTTGTCTTCCCCCAAGCCACAAAGCTAACAAAACCCAAATCCAATACTATAAAAATCTGTAAAATTGGCATACTGATTATCTGAATAAACACTAGGACTGTATAATTCACAAGGATTTCCAACATTGAGGGCTCAATTGAAAAATCCTTAAAATTTAAGTTTACCAAGAATATAGATACCCAAATGATTTCATGATCTGTTGACCAGATGTAGGTCTTTTGTTTTTTCCAGATATTGATTTCACTCTATTTTTTAGATTCCTTCCTTTTATCATTTGTCTGTTTATCTTTCTGCTGACTTTCTTTTCACTTTAATCAGCTATAATACAGTATTTCCAGTTATATAAACCTTAACAGAAACTTAACTCAAACTGTGTGCCCCCCAATGCCAAGCATGGTTCCAGGCGCATAATAATAGTACTTGAAAAAAATGTGTAACTATTAAAGAAATAATGGATTAATTGAATTATTTCTATTAGTATAGCATCATCAATTTTTCCATAGATTGGAGATCCTCTTAAGTATAAACAAAAATAATAATAATATAATAATAACAATCAACCTGTTTCTATTAATATGCATTTAAACAGTAAATCCTAATGTGTAATAGTTCTATAAAGTTATGAGAAATTAATGTGAAAAGTTTTTTATTTGCTTATTTATGTTGTCTTTTAACAAAATAAAACTTAATTTCTGACTATAAAGTGAGCTTGTGGAAAGTGGAACCTTTTAAATGATTGGAAAGAATTAAATCTGTTAGAGGAACTGAGTTCTAGAAATCTACTTGTGTTTAATTAAATTTTATATACAAATATCCACGTACTAATAATGAAAAATGTTATTCTGGTAATGCATTATAAGAAAAGGCATTTGTAGTCTCCTCCTAATGCTGATTATTTTGTACTAATTTACCTCCTATTTGTAGATGAAGAATTAATGTTGAATGCTGAAAAAATACTTTTTAAATATAGATGGATCAGACAGGAAAATGAGAACTAAAATGTTTAAAGTTTATTTTCTATAGACTTCTAAATCTAATTCTAATACAAAAATATTAGATAATTTATTCACTTCTCATTTTCTATGTGCTATGTAAAAATTGCTGTTAGATTTTTCTTGTTTAGTTTAAAAAGTAAAGCATTTCTACATTTCTCAGACAAAGAAATAAAAGCAGCAAACAAATATATGAAAAAATGCCCAACATCACCGGTCATTCGAGAGTTGCAGATGAAAACAACACTGAGATTCCACCTCACCCCACCAAGAATGGCTGCTATCAAGAAATCAACCAATAACAAATGTTGGTGGGGGTGTGGGGAGAAAGGAACCCTTCTCCATTGCTGGTGGGAGTGTAGACTGGTGCGACCACTGTAAAAATCAGTATGTAGATACCTCAAAGAACTAGGACTAGAGGTCCCATTTGACCCAGCTATTGCCCTGCTGGGTATCTCCCCAAGAGAATTAAAAGTGTCATACCACAGCAACGTATGTGCACCCATGTTCATATCGGCACAGTTTGTAATAGCTAAAGCTTGGAAGCAGCCTAAGTGCCCATCAATTGGTTTTTTAATAAAATGGAGTACTATTCCACCATAGAGAATGAGAAATTAGAGTCATTTATAGCTAAGTGGATGCATATTGAGGCCATACTCTTAAGTGAAATAAATAGGACACACATGTGTAAATACCGAATAGTTTCTCTAGTGTGAGAAACTGACAGTGTAAACAAGGGTTAAAATGATTAAAATGAATATTGGAAAATTGGAAATAGGAAAAAAGGTCCAAAGATGAAGGGATGAAGGGAGGGGAAGGGGAAAGGAAAGGAGGGAAAGGAAAAACTATGAGAAAAGAAAAAAAATGGAAATGTCTGTGTAAATAGGGAAGGGTGGAGGGGGTGAAGGCTGCACAGATAATGGGGAAAAAAAAATAAGAACCAAGATACATCATGTACAGATACAAGCACCCAATGATAAATGTAAATGTATTGTATACGTAAAATGTACCAAAAAAAGAACTTAGGATAAAACAAGTAAAATATTTCTTACAGAATATTAAATTCTTATCTTGTTTTGAATTTTAGTTATATTTATCAATTTCAGAATGAGAGTTGAAATGTGATGCTTCTTATACAACTTAGATATTTCCTCTTTTTTTATATCAATTTAGTGCATAATTTAGGAGACTTACAAAAGAGCATTATATATTCTGAACTCTTGGGAGAGGGGAGACTCACTTTCTTTTTTGTCTCATTGTACTGCTCTAGAATTACAAATTTACTTCAAGATCTCTGCTTTTCCTCTTATCTTTCTGTGATTATCTTATTGTCATACTAAATTTTTCAATTAAAATCCAACTAAATTAAATTTTAATTTAATCCAACATTAGTTTTTTTCTTTGAATACTAAATTTAAAATCATTAGCACAGGGCAGGGAATTTAGCTCAGTGGTTTCGCCGCCTGTCTTGCAAGCTCAAGGACCCGAGTTCGGTCCCTGGTATCAAAAAAAAAATCATTAGCACAGTTTCTTGAAATACAGTATTATTAAAGTCATGTCATTATTTTCTCCAACAAAATAAGAGGGAAAAAAGATTACATTGTCAGCTCAGAATAATTTCCAATTTGAACTGGAGACCAAACTAATGGGAAAAAAAATCTTTCAAATATGAATTAACACTGAACTTACTGATACATGAGAATGCAAACTCCTCCACCTTCCTTCTTCCTTGTGATTTCTTCTCCAAATAAGCAGGATCCTGAGTATTCTTTCAGCCTTGTCAACTGACTGGAGTTAAGACTACTTAAAGATTTGAAAGAAACTAGTTTAACAAGTTGGGATGTGTAAATGTTAACCAATAGCTTGGTTTGAGGTAAAGAATCGCTTGATAAGTCTTTGTTACAGGAAATAAGAATTTCCTGGTTCTGGCTAATTAGAAAAGTGAAACAATATCAAGCTCCAAACTGAAACAACACCCTTTAGGTACTATGAGAAATGTTGTGTTTGTCTTTCGAGAGGTAGCACTCTTCCTTGTGAGTCAATACAAACCTGGTCTCAGGCCTGGTTGTTCATCTCTTTCCAGGACAATCCTGAGACAAGATCAGAGGTTTCCATGAATCCTTGGATAGACTGTGATGGATTCTCTCAGTGCCATGGTGCACATTCATATTATATCTGACCCAGTACTTCATTTGTAGCTCTTCTAAAGGAGGATCCTGCTTTAAGGTGTAAAGATTAAATTATATTTTGAACCAATTGCCATCTGAAAGGCCCTCACTAACTGGTCATCTCTTCTTTGTATGCTCTAGTTTTTAGCTATATCATCGTCTGCTTTCTTTGAGTTAGCAGTTTTCTTCTCTGTCAGTTCAATACTTTGTTCCCATTAAGTCTTTGTTCCATGTGGGGAAAGTGTCTTCTCTTCTTTGTGTTATAGTTCTCAACTCAAACTCCACCTCACTGTTGGAGTCAGGTAATGAATTAGAATCTGTCTACACTGGGTCTGTAGAATCTAATCTGAGACCTTGTATGCTAAGGTAATTCCACCAGGATTCTCTTTCCTCTAATTTCCCCAGTTCTCATACTATCTCAATGAACCTTGAGCCACACATTCCCCTGGAGTAATCTTGTAGTTTCAGTACAGTTATTTTCAGGTTTTTAGACTCATTTCTGCTGTTAGCGACTTGAGGAGTAAAACTGTGATGTCTTTCAGTGCACTTATCAGGTCACTGCAAATGCTAAGGATCTGATACGTACTGAGCAGAAAAGAGGGATGTGAACTCAGCAGTCTAAGCAGGATTATTACTAAACCTCTCAGTGTGAGCAGAACAGAGAAGGTGTCTCTTACAGGCTAAGAAGCTTTTTTTTAACAGTGTTTTTTGGTGGGCTTTTGTGAGGGTGGATCAGAGAAACATTGGGCTTTTAGCTTGCTGACATGTCCTGTGTCCTACTGACATGTCCTCGGGGGACTTCTCATGACTTAGGTAAAATGAGACCTACATCTCTCTGAGATGGCAGGTGGGCTCTATCATTCCTAATTTTAAAGGGGTATAGGAAAATATGTTATTGTTTTGGAGAAAGAAGCCCATTTGAAGGTATTCTCAAGTAGTTACCTGACAAAGGCTACTATTCATTCCTGAAAAAAAATCTTTAGAATAGATTAATTTTCTGGGAGGGGGGGGGAGAAGAGTAACAAGCATTAAGGGGACCAAAAAAGAGCAATAACTATTAAGGGGTAGTAGCCAAAGAATAGGAAGGGGAAACAGATCATTGGAAGTGAGAAATAAAATGAGCTGAAACACAAACACCCAAAGGAGGGGTTTTATTAAGGGACAGAGCTGCTGGGCTGTCTTGAACAATGGCGAGAACAGCAACCAGGGGTTGGCTGGGTGGGGTCTATAAGGGCTAGGGGATTATGGTGGTGGCAGATGATTGGCTACAACTGGGGGAAAGGTGGGAAAAAGCAGGTCTTTGTTCTCTCTGGAGTGACTTATTTCCTGTAGGCAGGGGCCATTTTAAGGGGCAGGGTTGTCAGGGCCATTTTTATCTAGCAGAGAACTCTGTCAGGAGGATCCTTCAATGAGTTTGGAAGCCCATTCATGAAAGTGTTTTGCCCCCATCACTGACAAAATAGATTTGTAGGTATAATTATTTGGCCCTGTGATTTCAAGGCCTCTGTGGTTTTGGAGGATGACTGAAACCTGGGAGTCTACTCGATCTTGCAAGTGTCCCAGTTGGTTGGGGAGATTTGAAAGGAATTTGAAAGAAGGGAGGGTAGGTTTGAACTGGAGGTAGGGAATATGAAGGCAATGAGAGGCCTTCCATAAAGAATCTCCAAGGGGATGAGCATAAGAGGTTTTCAGGGAAGAAACCTGAGTTTGAAAAGGGCAAAGGGCAGGAGTTTAGTCCAGTCTAAGTGGATCTAGAGGGAAAACTTGGTTAGGCTGTGTTTATCATGATAGCCAACCTTTCTACCCTCCCCAAGGAGTATGGTGGCCCTCCCCACGGGGACTACTTCACAGCAGGCAGAACTCATGGGTTTTTCAACCTTACTTGAGGATTGGGGTCAATATGGGACGTGGAACTTCCAGGTTATATTTCTGGAGGAAGCTACTTGTTGGTTGATCTGCAAAGTAAATTTAGGTCCATTATCAGTTTGGATAGAGGTTGGATGTCTACTATGGAGAATGTTCTGTTTGACATAGGAAAGACATCTATCCATCCTGACAAAGTGTCAACTAGGACAAGGAGGTATCTTTGTTTTTTTACTGTAGGCATATGAGTAATGTCTATTCGCCAGTCAGTACTGGGGAAGGATCCCCAAAATTGATGGATGGAGAAGGGGAGAGGTCTGAGGTTGCTCCTGGTGTTGGTGGTTTGGCATATGGGGCATTGAGTGACAGTCTTTTGCAGGGAGGTCCTAAAACTAGGGGTGAGATGTATGTGAGGATGTAGGAATTAGAGCAGAGAGAATGAATGATCTGGCATGGAACTAGTCATGGAAAAATGAAAGGAATTTGTTTTGCAAGCTTTCAGGAAGGACCAGTTATTCATGGAGAAGCCACAACTGTTCCTCTTGTCATCTCCTCTGTTCTTTGAGTAGAGTTATTTCTTGGGGTGAGTAATAAGGTATAAGAGGGAAGAGGAAGTGAGGGATGGAGAGAGGGTTGGTAGCTGCCTGTTTTCGTACTCTATCGACCTCATTATTTCTGCAAATGATATGTCTGAGATGTTTATCCCATATATTAGGTCTTTGGTAGCCCTTGCAATGAATGACAGCAGCTGTGGGGTAGAAGAGCAACCCCTAGAAACTCTTGAATTAGGGAACCATCTTGTATAGGGGTATTTTTTTCAGTTGGGAATCCCCTTTCATGACAGATTTGGGAGTTTAAGTGTAGGATATTATATGCATATTTGGAGTCAGTGTAACTGTTGATGGTTTTATCTGTTGTGAGATTGAGAGCTCTAGTGAGTGTGATGAGTTCTGCCTGCTGTGAAGTTGTCCCTGTGGGGAGGGCTGCCATACTTCTCAGGGAGGGTAGAAAGGTTTGGTATCATGATAGCTTTCAATGATAGCATACCCTGCCAGGGCAGGATGGTCTTTGACACTTTCATCAATAATCAAGTTGGGGAACCCTGAAATATGTTCTGAGGTTCTGTGATGGAAGCAGGTGAGAGTAAAATCAAGGAACTCAGTGCAATCAGGTTGAAGGGAAGAGCCTGGGGAGTCAGGTATTGGAAGGAGGTTGGCAGGGTTTAGGACAGATGAGCTCCAGAAAGTAACTGAGGATTGTAAGAACTGAGAGTGTAGGACTTGAACTTGGGATGGAGAGGGAAGTGTTGAAGCATGATGGCTGAGAAGATTGGAGAGGCTGTGTGAAGAGTGCACCTTTAGGGGCCAGTGGAGAGTAATCTTTTTGGCCTAGGGGATAATAAGTGCAGCTGCCACTAAGACCTGTAAACAGAGAGCCCAACATTTTATTGCAAGGTTGAGGTGTTTGGATAAATAGGTAACAGGCTGGAGGGAGTGTCCATCTAGCCATACAAGTAACCTTATTACTGGTCCCTTTTTGCTGGTTAGAAATAGAAAGAAAGGTTTATTAGGACTGAGTAGGGCTAAAGTGAGAGTCTTAGTGAGTTCCCACTTGAGAGCCCAAAAGGAAATGGGAATTAAGTCTGTTTCTGGCACTCTTTGTCAGGGAACTCTGTGGGAAACCTCAGAGGGGTTTTACAGTGAGTGAGAAATTTGGGATCCAAAGCCTAAAGTAGGTAAGAACGCTTTCATAAAATGAAGGAGATTTCATTTGGTGGTGAGGAAAGGATTGTTAATAGCTTATTTTCAGGAGGGGTTATGCAGCAAGTGGTAGGTGAAGGCTGAGGCAAATGATCTCATGTTGTACCAGCTGGGCTTTGTGTTCTGATGATGGGGCAATAATGCACAATAGAGCAAGCCTTTGCCCGCCCCCCGCCCCCGCCCCATGCTTTTATTTTTGTTTTCCATAAAATATTCTGTTTTACAAATATAACTATTTGTGCTGCAGGTCTTCCTGCCCAGTGTATCAAAGTGTTTTGTAACTGTTTGTACTGCACATGTATCAGCTTGTTGTATCAAAAGTGTTTGTCCTGTTAACTCCACCCCAAGAGGTTATGCTTCTAGCTATGTCTCTGCCCTAAAAGGTTCCTCTCAAGTTCTTTTCCCCAACTGTATATAAACTGACTCTCACTGCAACTTGACGCTCAGAATTCAGAATGAGCAAATTCCTCTAAGCCAGCCACCTAATAAAGATTTTCTCCATCTCTTGGAGTAACTTTTATATTCTAGAGTCTTCAAATTGCTGGAGTTGTAAGCACTTAAGCTGTAACCACTGGGCTGTAACACTGAGCTGTTCCACTTTGCCACAACACTGAGACATTTTGTTGGAGCCAATTTTGTTGGGGCTGATTAGAAGGACATAGGCCAGACACACACACACACACACACACACACACACACAGAGGCAGGCACAAACACACACACACACAGAGGCAGGCACACACACACACAAAACAAAACAAAACAAAACAACCTCAGGGGAAGACCCAGATGGATGACATTGTAAAATCATCACATGCTTATCTTTGGCTAATGATTATAAAAATATCACAAGCTTATCTGTGTACCATGTGCTTGAGAAATGTACCCTACTATATGTTTTAGATGTACTAGTTGTGAACATATTACTCACATTTACTGCATGCTTAAGAAATTCCCAACTGACCTTGTTTTTTCCCAGAAACAAAGGCTAAGACCCTGATTGGCCTGTTGTGCCCAGATCGCAAAGTCCCCAAAGACCACCAAGGAGCCATTTCCAATGTAAACACACTAGGGTC